CTAAAAAAAAGAAAAAGCATAGTGACAAATGTAAAGCCAGGACGAGGATCACCATTGGTCCAGCGTTCGCTCGCTGGCGTGAGCTACAGGAGGAGGAGGGGTGCCCGACCGATGCTGACGCTTGCCTGCACACAAATGCCGTTTCCAAGGTGACACAGATAAATCATATAAGCAGTGTAGTATTTTCTGGTATTCCGGCCACAGCCGATGGTGTTATGAGTGTAATAAAATGCCCACAGCCCATTGTTCATTTCTACACACAAACACAGCCCGCCACAGTGCAAGGCTCGAACAAATAAAGTCGACTCATATCAAATGTACATTAAATGTAGTGAACGTTCCCACGACTCAGTGCCCACAAACACTACACACAACATGTCCCACGGTTTCTGTAAAACGAAACCAACACACATAAGTTACAGTCAGCTCAGGCCGACGGTGTTTTTAGTGCAGTAAATGTGCCCGCCGTCCCGCGCCCACATTCACTCACAGACATGTTAGCACTAAGCCCCACGGGGCTCGCCCCGCTCGCTCTCTCTCAGCAGACTGCTATAAGGGAATCGAGCGCGGCCAGGCTGCCCGCCTCAAACACTGCACACAATCTAAAGACACGGGAAGCTGACCCACTGTCTATGGGCGGACCGGTTGACTGTTTGTTGACTTTTGCGACAGTGCTGCGGCGCTTGTGGCCTCTAGGGACGCTAGACGTGAAAGTTACAGGTCGAGCGCCACTAGTGGCCAAAAGTTCGGCGGTGTGCCTTTAAAGATTATTTAGCCCAAAAAATTTTTTGTGTGGATTGACTTGCATGGATGAATTGTTCACCACAAAACGATCAATTTAGGCAAACAAAGTAAGTGTGGTCAATTTTGAATTCATGGGGACTTTAAGGTTGAAAAGGGGTCATATGAGTGGGGCTTTCATCTATCTATTGAAAAGACACAATTTATATGTTTTGACATACAAGTTTAAATAGTGGATTGCATATTATAGGGAAACATCAGACTGGATTATGCACAAATTGTGGAGTAATAGAAAATGTAAAACACATACTTCTAGATTGTATACAATACACCAGAGAAAGGGAAAATATGAAGAGAGCGGTAAAGAAAGACTTAACAATGACAAATGTATTGAGTATAACCAGCACGCAGCCCACAGTTCAGGCGGTTATACCTTTTCTTAAAGAAACCCAACTAGCAAGTAGAATTTTTTTTTTTTTTTTTTTTTTTTGCTGGAGGTTGAGGAGCTCAGGGTGGAGGATGAGGAGCTGAACAGCTTGCTGAAAGCTGAAAACTTGGGCTTTGATCCTATAGGATGGTAAAGGTATTTTTATGACGTCCCAATGTGATCACACCTCAGTCCAGTAGATGGCGGTAATGCACAATGATTGCAAGCTGCCAAATAAAATCTACCGAAGAAGAAGAAGAAGAAGAAGCCACCGGGGGGCGATCGAGACAAGTACAGCTCGCTGCATCCTGCGGTGGATATCCAACCCGGCCCACATCCATGTGTGACGTCAGAAGCCACGCCCATCCAAGTGTGACGTCGGAAGCCTCGCCCATGTCCAAATACGGCACGTGACTCGATTTGTTGTACGCATGCGCAAATGGCGCTGCTTCCTGTCGGAAAGGTCGGAAATATGTTTACAGCTGTTATCATAGTTATTGGTTTATAATAAAGATGAGGTTATTTGTATAGAGGTGTGACGCTACAGATTATTGATGCAGTTAAATTGTGACGCTTTGGCAGGCTTGGAATGGTCTAAATCACAATCACTCCCTTAACAGTGAGCATTGCTCACTGGTTTTGTAAGTTAATGACATGGTAGTACAAGTAAACAATGTACCTTAAAACGATATTTTTGTATTTCTCTTGTATTTCTGTTACACAAATGGTAATCAATAATCATGGTTTTGCTATTATAGACGTATAAGGGAGCATCTATACTTAAACTAAAACGAGTTTTTGTCACTTTCTTAATTATATGGGATCCAAACTGCACTTATAGTTACCCCTTCTAAATAAAAATAAATAAATGTAAACTTTTTTTTTTACATTTCTTTCTATGTGGTTATAGAAATATTGCATTTTTACAACCAAATTAAGAATTCACTTATTAGTTAATGCCTGTTATAGCAAATGACTTTGAAATCAAATAATAAAACAGCAGAATGGAATTTATGTAAAGCTTAAAGAACCAATATGGTGAAACTCGAAAAATTAGAATATCGTGCAAAAGTTCATTTATTTCAGTAATTCAACTAAAAGCTGATACTAATATATAATATAGACTCATTACATGCTCATTTCAAGCCTTTATGTGTTATAAATTTGATGATTATGGTTTACAGCTATGTTGAATTACTGAAATAAATGAACTTTTGGACAATATTCTAATACATAAAAAACAGTGAATCTCTCGCTTCACCTACTGTACAGGTTTTATGAGTTTAACATATCAAAATATCATCATAGTTTAAAATATCTTGGTCACAAATTAATTTTTTATTTAATATTTTGTGTTAATACATCAAGTTTACACACATGGGTCTAAAATGACCCATCTATGCAAGTGTGATAACTTTTTGTTAAAATAACCAATGTCACAGTTGTTCAGAGCAACACATTCACTATACTACTTAAAATCAATAGTATATTCCTGCACAATCGAAAGGCTGCAGCTTTAGGACCCCGGTTACAGGACCCTAGTTTTTTAGTTTGTACATACATAGTTCGAAAGACATTTAATCTCAGGAGTATTTTTATAAAATGTGTTTTTTTATTCAAAATGTATCAGAGGCATTTTGAAAATTTTAAATTTACACAAAACAAATTAAAAATGTATATCAACACAACTGAAAAAGTGGAGTGAGTCTTAGTTTCTTGAATTATACTGTATATTGATTAACCTCCTTAAGTTTAACTAATTTGCTCATTATCAGGTAAAATAACAATGGAATCAGCATATGCAGTCACTAAATGATATGGCCAGATATCAGAAGGCAAAACTCGAGAATGATTCAAGCATGCATTTATTTATATATACACATGTATTTATTTATATTATATGAAAGAACAAAATTATTTGTGCTAGAACAAAAGCACCAAAAAGATCCCCTTTTCCACCAGTTGCTGCAAGAATGGCTTCAACTCTGAAAGAGAGAGAGAGAGAGAGAGAGAGAGAGAGAGAGAGAGAGAGAGAGAGAGAGAGAGAGAGAGAGAGAGAGAGAGAGAGAGAGAGAGAGAGATATTTCAGTTGAACATGTTAAACAAATGTCTATTTCTGATTTAACACTTATGAAATGTTGGAGTTGTAGAGAGAGAAAGTCAAATAGAATATTCATGTTACTGACGTCTAATTCCAAACTCCAAATGTGTAAATGTAAGAGCAACACCCATCAATTGAATGGTCTCCCTTCTTTCCTCAATTGTTTGTCAATTTGTCGGTTAAAATCTTCCACTTCACTGAAATAGTTTTCAGAGAACAGTCACTGTTGCGTTAACAGAAATATCAGTAACAAAAGGGTGCACTGGGCATTGTGCAAAAATAATTAATAATTTACTCTGAGCTGCAATGGATGAATAGAAAATGAGAATTTCTCTTTAGTCATAAAACTGCAGCAGGGACATTCGAACCACCCATCCAGGCAGAATTGATCTGCATCAGGCTTGAACTGAAAATGTGTAGGATGCTGTAAAACATGACAATGACAATAATTATGTGATCTTTCCATTAATCTAGAATAGATAGATAATTTGGCACATACACAGAGTTATCAAGTAAGATGTAGTGAAATGATTCGGTTGCTCAACCAAGTTACTTTGAAGTGATAAGTTAGGTTTGTAAGTGATAAGTGATCAGACCAAAACGTTTTAACCTAGCTATCGTTAAGTTGTTAATTCCAATTCAGACAAACCTTTGGCCCGACAGTTAACAGTACGCTAACTTGATTAGGATACAAACCAAAGTTTATTTGTACTTACCGACATGGCAAACAATCACTTGCTTTCAAAATTGTAGTACTCCTGAAAAGAAGTATAATATAGTTAGGAAAGACTACTGATGTGATGGCTGGCTTGCTGTCACTGTATTTACTATGAATCAATAATAAAACTTATTCATATTACAACAGTTTATCACCACATTACATTATCTAAACATGTATAACTTCTTTGCATAGCAATGACTGAACAACTTCAAACTTTTTCAATATGGAGTATTTACAACTGACAGAGTGACAATCAAATCTCATATTCTTTACAAGCAGAATAAGATTTACAGGATGTAACGTCACACATAAGCACTGAAATAATATATTTTTTCATATTTACCCTTAATCCAAATAACAACATGAAATTGGTGATATAATAATGCAGTTAGTATAGTATAATAGTAATAGTATACAAAACAAAATTCTCAGTTGAGAATCTGACGTAGTTACTGATACGAAATTCACTCAGCCAAATGTAACACACAACTCAGTTGAGACATTACAGGGGAGTTAAATGACCAAATATGTAAGTTGAAGATAATTCATAGCTCTAAAACAACATCATCAAACCTTATTGATTCGAATTACATCGATATTTTGACAATGCTAGTCAAGTGATCAACCGCACTGACCTCATTACAAACTATTAATAAGAGCTGCTTTCAATAGGTAACAAATCATTCTTATACAACTCATTCGTATTATGTTGAACAGTGTTTATACTAAAACCGCAAGTGTGTTTTGTGCATTTTGTTTCGCAGTTACCTTCGTCTTCTAGTCTTCTCTTCTCGATGCTTCTTCCTGTTTTTAAATGTTAATGAGAATGTGTCCAATTTGGGCATGGGCGTGGCTTCTGACGTCACACTTGGACGTGGGCCGGGTTGGATGTCCACCGCAGGCTGCAGCGAGAGGCTACTCGATCGAGAGGCTTTTCAGCAGCACGCTTGGTTTCCTCCACCATCAGCACACACACACACACACACTGGAGAAGAGCGAGTCCAGGAGCAACAGCTGAGATAATGGAGTTTATTAAAGAGGAGTGTGAAGACATGAGTGAAGGAGTGAGAGAAGAAGATACTGACGAACAGAGAGGTTAGTGATCTTTCTTCAGTAGCGATAGTGACTGGAACTGCGAGCATGACTGTGTGTGTTGTGTGTGTGTGTGTGTGTGTGTGTGTGTGTGTGAGAGAGAGAGAGAGAGAGAGAGAGAGAGAGAGAGAGAGAGAGAGAGAGAGAGAGAGAGAGAGAGAGAGAGAGAGAGAGAGAGAGAGAGAGAGAGAGAGAGAGAGAGAGAGAGAGAGAGAGAGAGAGAGAGAGAGAGAGAGTCGATCTGTGAATTCAGCTGACGATCCTCCGGTGGAAATCTGTGTTTCTACACGTTTAACTATTATTTACAACAAGCACGAATCCCGCATTAATATTATACAAACACGTGTTAAGATTGAGCATGATTTATGAACACTTTCACAATTGATCAGTTTCATTGTTTCTCACTGCTCTGCCCTCTTTCTCTTGTGTAATAATGAAATACAGGCTGTGCAAATGAATAAAGATCCAAGCCATTATATAGATCAGCTTATAAGTTTAGAAAATATTCATCTAGTCTAGTACATACTTGGCTCAAATAGACTATAGAACTTCACTATTGTGATTTGAGAAATCATTCACATTAGTTTTGATCTGTTAACCCTATAACCAACACGTGCTTCTCTGAGTAATTATTAACTCTAAATCTGTTTTAGGGAGGGTCATAGGCATCAACATATGTTTAAACCAATGAGGGAAAAACAGCAAAGCACCTTTTTTGACTTCATATAAACACAAAAAAACAAACTCAAACAAAGATCCAACATTTAAATGGTATTGCAAAACAAACAGCTCAGATATGGTTCTGTATATGGGCTGTAGTTTACGAAATGTACGATTCAGTCTTTATAACGTTCACTGCTGTAGAAAGTTAATGTGATTGTGAAAGTCAGATGTTAGCTGAAGGAGTCAGATGATGATGTTTGATGGTAATGATACTGAAGTAGATGACCGTGACCAAACATATAGATTCACAATCAAAGGGTGTCCGTAGCAGTAATGAAACTGTCCAATGTGGAAACATCAAACCGTGAACCCCGTAGCAGGAATCAGTGGAAACACCCAGACAAGGACCACAAATATGCCTTCAGCATAGAGAAGTCCTTAGTTGAGCACGAAACCGAATGTTTGTTTGACCAAGGAGGTCAGCCATGCTTTCATAATCAAGCTAATCTGTTGGACTGCTCGCCTGCTTCATCTAAGCACAGCGGTCCTCTACTGCCCCTAGTGGAGAGGAGTGCAATTGTAGTTTAAAACTAAGTAACGGACTGGTGTCTGTCACAACCCTTTCCTGAGTCCTTAACTTCACTATTCTGATTTGAGAAGTCATCCACAGGAAAGGGTTAACAGATTAAAACTACTGTAAATTATTTTTTTGTTTCATTGTACGGTATACTGTCCTTTAGGGCTGTCAATCTTCCTCTATAATACTATTCGAATTCCATTCCTTGTTTAATTTAATATTCGAATAATATTCCGCGTCTGGTGTGAACGACGCCATAGGTTAGCATGGGCGCCGAAAGGAAGCGGCCTCGTTCCGCGCCGCTTCAGCGTCCGGTGTGAACCCGGCGTAAGGGGTTAAAAGCTCAGAGAGATAATGAGGTGCCAGTCCATGCAAAGCCTTGTAAGTAGGGATGGGACGGTATGAAAATTTCATATCACGATTATAGTGTCCAAAGGCTTTGTTAAAACGAGATGAGTGTTCAAAAAGAACTGATGCTCACACTAAAAACATTTCAACAAGTTTTAAATATGAAAATCAACAAACAAAAGATAAAACAAGCAGCTCTATGCAGTTAAGCAAGATTCTATTCAGTGCCATTTCCCTCTTTATAATGACCGTCATCAATAGCAACACATTATTACACGCCCCACATCCATGCTTCACAGCGGACAAGCGGCGCGCTCTTGTTTCATTCAAATACAACTTGCAGTCTTGCGTCTCCCGTTTTTGATTTTAAACAATAAATCAACTCTGATTTCATTTTCAATACAGAGTTTGATAATATTGTTGTGATCATCTTGTCTGGATGATTGTCTATAATGGATTTATAAACAGGCAAGATTTAACACATTAATCTCAATTCAATGTCCCCGTAATTATGTGGTAAAAAAAAAATCGGTGTAAGTGTACAATGAATCTATACATTACTATCCCTTAAAATCTCATGTTCATCTTGAGTACCTATAGAGTAGTATTGCATCCTTCATATCTCCAAAAAGTCTTTAGTTTTATTATATTTATAAAAGAAAGATAGGCTGGACCGAGTCTTTCCGGAAAAACCCGAGCGGGTGGAGGCGTGCCGTGTGGGCGGAGCTAAATAATCACGACACGAGCGCGCGAAGCTTTTGCGTTGAGAGCGTCTGGAAGCTGTGAGTGACATCCGAAAATAAACCATGGCTAACAATCAGATAGTAATCCCATGCAGAACAAGGATCTAAACAATACTAAGGGCTCGTTCATACAGAACGCGTTTTTGCTCACAAAAACGTGAGATGGGCAGTGAAATGAGTGAAAAACATAAGGTCTCGAGCGTTTTTTTTTAAAATAGAAATGATTTGAACTTGAGCGCAGTGTTTTTAGAACACCATGTCATACGCGAGTTTTACAACATTTGTGTGTTGTAAACAGACAGACTCGTGGTTTATGACGACATGATTTATTTTTACAAATAAACAAACTGACACCTACAGTGGCCAGCTAAACAAATGTATTTAAACACACACACACACCATACATCGCATGCTCCATAGATACATTAACTGTATGTGATCATGTTGTTTACTTGCTGTGCTTACACGCCGATAGTTAACAACTCACAGACATTTGAAGCAGTTTTACTCACCGCCTGCGGTTCCAACGCACGACCGTGAACCTTTATCGTTGGGACTGCTCCATCTTTAAGTATTAGGCGATCTGCAAATCCGGCGTTGAACTGGGCCTTGTTTATAAAACTATTACCGTCGAAATGAAGGGAACAAACAAAAACACTTGCACAACTCCGTTGCTGCTCTGGAAAAACAAAATCCATCCACAGGTCCCTTAACGCTGGGTTCTTTGGAAATTTGTGCAGTGTTGTCTTGCCCTGGCAACCAAAAACACTTTTTTGGAGCCATTTTTTTAATTGCAGCGCAGCCGACCGAGCCCAGCGCTCTGATGGGCATAGGCGTACTCTCGCACGCACTAGGCTACAGATGCGCGCGCGCCCTTCCGGGAGAAGTGCCCTTAAGACCCGTATAAGGAAATTCCGGCCACTCTGACGTCACACACGCCCGTATTCGAAAAAAACTTTCCGAAACTTGTGACAACCCGGAAGGAGTATTTTTGGAACAGAATTACTCCATCAAACTTACAACTTCATTTTTGAAACTTTGTCCATGTTTAGCATGGGAATCCAACTCTTTAACAGTGTAAAAAACTCACTATGCATGAAACAGCATTTCACCCCCCCCTTTAAAGTGTAAATTTCAGGTCAATTTTTTCACGAAGATAATGCAATGTGCTTACTAAACATAAAGATAAGAACCGTCCACCATTGTTTGTTTTTATACCAAAATGCTGAATATAATATGGAAAGTTGGTACGTTTTGCAGTGGTTTTAAGCACGCCCCCTCCCTCCACTAGGCTGGGCGTGACGTCATAAAAGGGACTCCAAGCTTTTACTGTCTATGCTCCAGGCCTAGAGTTACGTTATATTGGAGACCTAGCTAGCAAAAATGGTTAACTATTGTGTTTGTGCGGGATGTACGAATGCATCAAAACCGGGGGAGAGGCTCCACAAGTTCCCCGAGGACAAACGGCTGATTCGTGCCTGTAAGCGTTAGCATAACTTAATACATAACATAATACCCGAGCCCGGTCCGGCCCTGCCCGACACATTAACTGGAATTATGAGCCCGAGCCCGGTTTAAACCCGACTATTTTTTAATAGGTGGGTCGTTATAACTGACGTTCTCAACTACTTTCTATATTACTTTCTCCCGCCCGCGACATTTATGTTTTGGCCCGCTCCCGCCCGCAAAAAGACTTTTTTTCTGTACCTCCAAATACTTTCAAGTTAGCCTACGTGTCGCCACCATACACACCAGCATACATGCTCCTGATCAATTATTCGTTATAAAGCATTAACACACAAACCACTGTTGTAACATAAAAGCAAGCGGGCTACTGCGTGCATGGTTTGGCATGCCTGATGCACGCTCCCATAATAATTCCTAAAGCTGACATCAGTTCATCGCGATCTCACACATCTGTTATTATCAATGAAGCTTTCATAATATATACACTTTGTTTGTATAATTAGAGGATTTGCCAGCATACAGAATTCAGCTCTGAACAAAAAGTCCGTTTTGAGTGGTGAGGGGAGTCCATTATAAATGCTTCTGATTGGCCATTATTGCGTTAAAGAAATCAACACATGTCTGTGATTGGCTACATCGCTCAACGCTGCAGACATGTTAGAAATAGAAACTCTGCCTGTAAACCGTTTCTATTTTGTTTTAGTTGTTCTTATTGCTTTTCTGAAACAGATTAATACAAATGTATTAGTTTTAATGTTTTATTCATAGATATTTCTAGTTTGCGGGAGTCCCGCGAATCGCTTTATTCTCCCTCACCCGCGCACACAGAGTGAGTGCATTACCGCCCGCGCTCCCTCTTATGACGTCATCACCCAGTTACTGTAGAAAACATGCTGCCTTTGAAGAAACCCCATAAATGTTATTTTAACGCATTTTAAGACAGAAATTTTTAAATGTATACATATTAAGTACTTTAATTTACACATTAATTGGTTGTGGTAGTTAACCTGCAATTATCACTTTAATAATAGTATGGTTTGAAGTTGTTCGTTCGTCTTTGGCTCAAAGCCTCTTGCTGCGAACCTTTCTTCGCGGAAGCTTCCCGTCTATTTCGAGTGAGATAAAACATTTTAACTCAAAACAATATTTTGTGCCCCATTATTTCCCAGACGTAGTTTTGGTATTGAGGTCAAAGTTAACTTGCC